GCTGGGGGACGGTGGCACAGTGGGGTCCCCGCCGCACGGCCCTGTCCGCAGCGCCGCACACCCGTGGCCCCGTTGCACACCCATGGCCCCCATCCCGTGTGTGTCCCCATCCCGTGCGTGTGTCCCCATCTCACGCCTGCGGTCCCTGTCGCGTCTGTCCCCGTCGCACGCCCACCACGTGCCCGTGTCCCCACCGTGTGTCTGTGTCCCCATTGCACACCCTTGTCCCTGCCACACGCCCGTGTCCCCATCACACACCCACGTCCCTGTTGCACACCCGTGTCCCCACCACATGCCCATGTCCCCATCCCATATCTGTGTCCCTGTTGCACACTGTGACCCCACTGCACACCCCTGTCCCCACCGCACTTCCATGCCCCTGTTGCACGCTTGTGTCCCCATCACACACTTGTGTCCCCATTGCACACCCGTGTCCCTGTTGCACATCCATGTCCCTGTTGCACGCTTGTGTCCCTATCGCACACCCGTGTCGCTGTTGCACACCCGTGTCCAATTGCACACCCCACCACATGCCCGTGTCCCCACTTGCACAACCCTGTCCCCATTGCACTTCCATGTCCCTGTTGCATGCTTGTGTCCCCATTGCACACCCGTGTCCCCACTACATGTCCATGTCCACATCACACACCCATGTCCCCATTGCACACCCATGTCCCTGTTGCACACCCATGTCCCCATCACATGTCCCTGTCCCCGTTGCACACCCATGTCCCTGTTGCACACCCATGTCCCCATCACATGTCCCTGTCCCCGTTGCACACCCATGTCCCTGTTGCACCCCCCTGTCCCCACCACATGTCCCTGTCTCTATCACATCCCCGTGTTCCCATCGCACACCCATGTCCCAGTTGCACGCTCGTGTCCCCACCACATGTCCCTGTCCCCATCCCACGTCCCTGTCCCACATCCCCAACCCATGTAACCCATCCCATGTTCCTATTCCACATCCCCATCCCACATCCCCATCCCACATCGCCAATCCTACGTCCCCGTCCCGTGTCCCCGTCCTGCATCCCATCCCGCTTCCTCATCCCACATCCCCATCCTGCATCCCTGTCCCCATCCCACGTTCCTGGCCCACAGCCCTATCTCATGTCCCCATCCCACCTTCCCAACCTGCATCCCTGTCCCATGTCTTCCTCCCACGTCCCTGTCCCACATCCCTGTCCCACATATCCCCATCTCCCACATCCCCAGTCCCACGTCATCTCACATCCACATCCCCATCCCATGTCCCCATCCCTGTCTGTGTCCACTTCCCCATCCCACACCCCTGTCTCATGTCCTCATCCTACACCCCCATGTCCCCATCCCACATCCCCATCTCACATTCCAGTCCCACATCCCCTTTCCACATCCCTGTCCCACATCTCCATCCCACGTCCCCATCCCTGTCCCATGTCCTCGTCCTACGTCCCCATCCTGTATCCCCGTCCCCATCCCATGTTCCCTTTCCACATC